TGGGGATGCTCTTTGTTTTAAGCATTCAACCATTTCTGTAAGACTCCCTAATCTTGCATTTTGAGATTTAACACAACAATAGGAAAAGCTTTCCACCAAAACAAGGAATGAAAATTAAGCATTGCATCAAACTGTTATGCCAAGCATATCAGAAGAGCACAACAATGCATTATCTGAGCAGCCAGTGCTGTCTGTACTAAAAACAAAATCTGTTCAAGAAATCTGTAACTCATTAGCATAGAGGTTCAAAGTTGCTCGATGAGCATATTTTCCTTTGTAACAGTTTGTAGAACTGTCTGCATTTCTGCATTTCATCAGATTATTCTACGCTGGAGCTCTTGAAACAGTCTGAGCACCGCACTTCTTCTTTATGCTGCCATAACGAGCTGCACTTTCAAGCATCCTGTTCTGGAGCCAGTACATCTCCCAGTTATAGCTCTGATTAAAAACTTAACATCATCACAAAACTATTTTGTTAGTATTTTATTAAAAGACATGGGAGTATGAAGAAGTGCTACTTCTACCAAATCAGTTCCCAATATTCTTGACAGATACAGAGCTAGGGCTCCAAGACAGAAATAAAATAAAATTATGAAGAAGACTGTTTCCTTTTGGATAGTAAGTACATAGGAAACTCATTTGGTTTACATTAATTTGCTACATATTGCTCACACGTGTACAGTTCCATTAATTCCAGCTGGTTACATGGGTCTCTGAAGAATTCTTTTGTCAGAACAAAAATTCAGAATGCACCCACTCTCTAAAATCCTTCGACAAATAATCACAGAACAGTGTGGGTAGAAGGGGACCCTAAAGACCCCAGTTCCAACCTCCTACCATGAGCACGGATGCCTCCCACCAGTCCAGCTTGGCCAAAGCCCCAACCAAGACTGTGGGAAGGCAGAGAGGTGCATCTTTAAAACAAGTGGGTTTGGACTTCTCAGAACTGGTCAGTAATAGAAAAGAGGACTGTTATATTAAGTGCATTCCTTTTGCAGTGAACCCACCAGGAACATGCATTTTCCTGAGAAGAGCTGCTAAGTAAAAAGATGAAATCAAATTTAAAAGAGAGGAACCACCTCTCCAGTCAGTTCTGTAGAGAATTAGCACTAGGACTCACACGCCCTGCAAAATTAATCATACTAAGAATGCCTCAGCTAAATAGGAATAAAATACAAATTAAAAGAAATAATTAAAAAAAAAAACTCACCAACCAAATAACAGATGTGAAATGTGAGTGTAAAATATGTAACACCTAGCAAAGAAAATGATCTCATAATATCATTTGTTAGACAAAACTGTGGCAAATTTGAATGATATGCTACCTTAATAAGTTAATACCAGCTGCTCATTCTGAAGAAATACAATCTCCTACACATTGAAACTCTGAAAGTTGACAAAGACAGAAGGAAAAAAAAAAAAACAAACAATTACTTTACATAACAGTACAATTGAATTTGTGATGAAACTGTGGCAAATGCAGTAAGAAGTCAATATACAGAAGAACACAATGACAAGAAACTTCAGTTTTGTGACAGTGGCATGTTTAGCTACTGAATCAGCAAGAAAAACCGGAACCAGGCAAAGAAGTTCAGTTCTTATTCAACACTTTTTAGCAAGGTCCATTTCTAGCAGCAGGATAACCTGTTAGAGACACAGGCACTGAATCATATTTCAGTTTTCCATCAGATGAACAAACTCGTACGTGTGAGGAAGCTTGCCTGAGTGGTTGGTTTCTTTTTAATCTTACTTCTAAGTGTAAAAAATGTGCCTGAAATGTTTGTCCAATAATATTGCCCTTCCAAAGAGAAAAAAAGTATTCCAACATTCTGGCTACATACACAAAAACACATGAAGCACAGCCATATGTACCTCGAATCTGGGGGCATGTTCTACCACACATTTGTTATGCAATTTTCACATAGTCATAACGACGTTAAATCAAAGCCAACTGATGTCAGTGCTAAAACTCTCAGAAGCCCCACAGCGAAGCATCTTTACATTTGGGAAGTGTTAATGTGTGATATAAATATTTTGCCTTCCAAAGCCACCATGTATACCAGAATGTCAAAAGCAATTAGTGTAATGTGCACACAGAAACACACGCACACATGTGGAACATACTCTCACCGTGCAGGGAGTTCTGGGACACCTAGGCAAAGGAGATCCTCCATCCCCTTCACAACTCTATCGCTCCTTCAAGTGAGAAAACATCCTACGTACAACAGCAAAAGAAGAACTTTTTCTGCCCAGCAGCTTAAAAATCATAATATATTTTTAACAAGGAATTTTCTGTTACATATTCAGATGAAAACATACATATATGTATATTGACTCATTTTCAGCATGAGAAATAGATAAGCTCCATGAATGGACTCCTCCTGTGAGGCACCCAGCTATCTCCCCTAAAAGTAGTTACGCACAGGAAGGAGGAAAACAAGCAAGACTGCAGGAGTAGGGACTTAGCTGACTAAGCATCAGCTCAACTAGTTACTGCTGTTCCCCAGAAGAGCTGAGGGTGGGTGACCAGCACGGCTAGCAGAAAGCAAACACTTGAAGAAACCCTTCAGAGATCAATATCAAAGATGCAGTACCTTCTTGCTACAGCTACATACCATAGGACAAATACAACAGCTGTAAGTGTCCAAACTGCTGTGCTAAGAACCACATCACCAAAAGCAAGTGACAGAAAATAAAACCCATTTCTATTCAAGCACTGATATGCAACTGAGCTCAGTGTAGCCTTCGTACAGACGCAGAAAAAAAAAAAAAGATATCACAGCTTGAGATAAATATTAATAAAGTACAAATAAAAATAAGGTACAAATTTACAAGGAAAAGAAAATGAGGAGGGGAAAAAAGCGCCTCCCTTGCTTTACCTCTATCATCCACTACTTGTGATACAACCTGAAGGTCAGTGGGCATAGAAAACCTCATGCAGAATATGACTTGCTCTTTTCAAAGACTTGCTTTTTGCTGGGCTGCACTGCTAGCAGGGACACGGCCTCTTCTATCATGCTGTGCATGCGATGCGGTGACTCGGTCTGGCCCAGGCCTGCTGGCTGTGCCATCTGGCACAGGGGCCAGGAGGCACGAGCAGGGCCATGCCTTACAGCGGGCAGTTCTGATCATGCCAGTCCTTGTGCAGACCTTGTGCAGCCATAGACAGGAGGACAGAGATGCAGAGAAGCCATGTATACGAACGCCCGCGTTAGTTTCAAAGGGCAGGTTTCTCACTAGCTGTAAGCAATTAGAGAACTCTGAAGAAACCCAGCTAATGAATTACACAGAAGGTGTGCTACTTTCCCTATTAACAAAACAGCTAAATAATCTAAAATAGATCTGCTTTGTGTTTCCAGAGCTAAGCAATGCCTCTGCAATTACAAACCGCAATACACAAATATTGAAGGAGTGATGGATGAGCTTGAGTCCTTGCAGAGACTGCATTTAGCTATCTATAAAAAACCCCTTCCCATTAGCACTGTACATTAATGGTCACATTATCTTCAGCTGCTTTTTTCCTGTGAGTAGCATCATAAGCCTCCCCTGACTCCCAGTGCTACACTGTGAGTTACAGGCAAGCAGGAGTGAAGGACTGCACTGTGCTGGCATTAGATTTTGTCATTCTAATGTAGGAAATCAACCATTGTGTTACAGACAAAGAAAGAGACAATTTATTTTGTTTCAGAGCATTGATTATTTTATTACACTGAAATACAATTGCCCTTTTCACCCAGAGAATAATTGACAAATGCATTATTTCCCACTTCACTGCCACAAGGCTGGAATGAGTTAAAACATGCCTGTCATGAATCCTCTTAAGCCACTATGACCTGCTTGTTCTACTGCTACAACTCAAACGATTACCTTGTCCATTACCTAAATGGTAGATTATAAGCAAAATGCTGCTCATTTGCTCAGTAGCATATATCTTAAGCACAGCCATCAAGCAAAGCAGTGAGGCCTTTGTATCTGTTTATTGTGCTTGGCTTATGGGTGAGTCCACAGCAGTTCTCATTTGAGGACGCATCTGGAACCTAACCCAAGAGACTCATCTTTCCCTAAGAGATGCACTTCAGCTATTATATTACTGGAGAATATTATTTAGAGATATATTTGAGACAAATTATTCTTTAAAAAAAAAAAAAAAATCTCTTAGTCATCTGAAAGAAAGCTTTCTGTAGGCTGCTGCAGACAGATACCAGCTTGCATTTTGCGTGCATCACTATTTGCATCTCTTCTGTTTGTGCATTTTACGTGCAAGAAGCTGATAACATGTCAGTTTTCAGAAATATATATAAACACATCTGAGAACTCTCAACATCAGCAGCATTCTGTGCTATATCTTGACAATGGGATTGAGCAAAAAGTCTCCTCAGTGCATTTGTGCCTGATCTACAAAAGCTGAATAAACTTTACAGCTTTTGGACTGACAAATCACAGCAGCAAAGGCTAAAATGAATTATACCCTACCAGACTTCAAAGCACAGGTGTTTCCTCCTCCATACCAGGCAGGTCTCGCTAATGCATTCGCAGGACACACACAGGTTTTTCCACTGGCCTGAAACAGGCTGCTGAAAACAGGACTCAGCACTGAATGGCGCAAGCAGAGAAGCACTCTGGTGCATTCTCACATGACCTGCCACAGCTTGTGGCAATCAGTGTGTGTACTAGAGCATGAGGGCTGAGTGAGATGTTTTATGTCAGCGTTGCTGCTGCTCAGCTCTGATACACTTCAGAGATGGGTAAGCAATGCCTCTGACCTGAGGCATCCTGAGAACTCCTATTAGGAATGTCACACGTTACAAAGCTACACCCAAGAAGAAAAGTAAGAAAAGGTGTTTTTTCCACAGTCTAAAGCTTATATTCCCAGTTTCAGACTAAGCTTCTGAGTATTTCCTCATACACCACTTACTCTGCTATGAAATAAGGATAATAGCAATCCCTATATGCCCAGGAACACGGCAGAGCCCCTTCCCCTGCAGCAAACCGCACATTACCTGTGGAGTCGAAGATGATGGGCTGGCAGTTCCTGTTGGAATTCCAGTTACATTGCAGCACCTGGCCCCCTTCTACCACATTGTGCTGGGAGGTGTTTGCTTTTGGAGCTCCCACCAGAAGAAATATCCTGCAGTAAAATGAAGAAATAAAAGTCTCAAAACTTCAGGCACAGACACTGCTACTTCATGACATGCTAACAGTTCATGCATTTGAATGGATAAAGCTTTTGCATTAAGTTTAAAGCTAAAACTACTTCAGGTGTCAGAGGAATTGATACCGGGCTTGGCTCCCTCCTTTCCGCAAGCAAAAGCAGGCAAACTAATTTTGACTTAAGAGACGAAAGAAGATGAAGAATGACATATTCTGACTTGCTTGAAAGGGTATTTAAATGAGATAAACACCTCTTATATTCTTTTCTCCCCCTTTCAGAAAAATCTGCATTGACACCACAGAAGAAGTAGCCGCGTATTTCTGTAACTTAACAAAGAAATTGCCTGGCATCATTTCTAGTTAATGCTGTATGTAAGAGTAATTCACGGAAGTTGGTCAGCATTCAGTGATGTACACACAGAACAGCAGCGCTCAGGAGGCAGTGAGCATCAGCCAACCCTCTGCTAAAAGCAATCACCAAGCACCCAAGTCACTGACAGCCACAGACCTGCGCATTTATGAATCCCCACTGAAATTCATTACAAAATAATCATTTTCTTATTAAGATGGGTCACTGTACAAATGCCTGCTTATGTAAGTGAGGTGCACTCTGCGCAGGAACTGCTATGGTACTGGGTTCGTGCAAGTGTTAAAATGCAGAAGCTGCAGAGTAAGAAACAGATGGAATGCAAAGCCAGACCAAACAAGGCTATTAAGTTCTCCCAGGAACTCTCACAGCTCTCAGACACGCGACTCATCAGCACTTTTCTTAGGAAGCCCATTTGAAGCAGAGGCAGTGACATACAGAAGAAGCAAAGATGTGGAACTAAATGCTTCCTTTTATCAGAATCTGCTCTGTTGCGCTACTTTCATTTAGACTGTCAAAGAGAGAAGTCTTCCACTCGCAGGCAATGTTATCTCGTATCAGATAGGGCAGCTGGTTTTGAAATAGGCATAGCCAAATAAGCTCGTTGGAGAGTAAGTCTCCTAGTAGATAGATCCAAACTTTGGCAGACTTGTTCTGGTTGATTGTTATCCTTCAGACTTCATTTTAGTTCTGAGAACCTTACCAAAGCTCAACTCATATGAATACCAACAAATGAGGTTATTTTTCAACTCCACTTAATTTGCAGAACCTTCAAAATTCCCTGGTAAGGACTTGGTAGAAAAGCCAGACTTCCCACAATCCATTGGTTCCCCTAATGGCATTCACAGACTAGTTTTCAAGAGAAAGTATTTGAGATGCTTTAATGGACTTAAATGTTCTGTCTGGGCATAACAGAAAGGTCTAAAAATAAACATTCCTAATGCCAAGTGAAGAAATATTTTAATTATTATAAATACAATCAATTAAACAAGTGGTAACTTGCCTCCCTCTTCACTCTTAGTTCATTAGTTTTGAGAAGCCCTCCAAACTAAATATTTGCGTTAAAAAAATAAGTCACACTCATTTTAACCTTTCTTTCATAACACAATCACCATGATGGGCTATATTAAGGTGGTCACCAATTAAAGACTTGCAGTGGAACTCCACAAAGATTCAGTCACCTCTTTTCCCAAAGCAAAAAACAAAAACAAAAACCAAACATTTCTATAATCAGAAACCAAACCAGTAGACTTGAGCAATTTGCAACACTATTGGCAAATTATAAGACCAGTGACCATCCACAAAGAAGACTGTACTCCACATACTTTGGTAAAGAGAGCAACTGATGGAGATTTCTGTTTCCATAAGCATACACCAGCTGTGCTGTGGCACTACTCATCCCCTACACAGGGCACCAGCCACCCCAGCATAATGCTGCAGACAACACTGGGAATGCATTCGCAGCCTCTGCAGTCAGGTTTCCATAGCTGTGCTTAGAGGAATCCTCTCTTTCCAGTGCTTTGCCACGTGCTGATAAAGGCCATCAGGTTTTGAAATACACTCATACATGGGAACGACAGACTACAGAAATTAGTGCTTCTGTGTATGCAAGGCCTCTTTTACTTTGTAAGTCACACCTTCAGCCACTTGGAACTGCGCTTACATCCTGAGTCAGGAAACAAAAAGCACCCGGATAAAAGACTGCCACCAACTCACGGAGTACGTTTTTCATACAAGACTCCTCAACGTGCTTCACACTGCTGCCTGCAGCTAAAAAACAACAGCTTGAGCTTTTGAGAGCTGTTAACTCTGCCGTACCACTAGGCGATCCAAACAGCTTAATTGGACTTGAATTACTCGAACTCAGCTGCCTTTTAGCTCTGTCCTGTAACGAAGAGGTTCTAAGCACAGGTTCAGAGCAGCGTGTAAGGGGACTCACTCCTGCCAGGTGTGCGGGACTCAGCCCCCACCAAACGCCCACCACAGCCACCCAGGCTCAGCACGGCCGAGCATCCCCTCCCGCAGCTCAGAGATCCGCGGCACCGCTGCCTGCGGCCGGAGGCATCGAGGACCCCGCGCACGGAGCGTCCCGGCCTGCTTCCCAGGGCACCGATCTGACTGCGCCGGGCCGGCTGCTGTAAAAGCTGCGGAGCGACTCGGTTTCACTAAGAGGTTTGACCTAAAAGGCAGCAGGGGAAGCCGACCAGATACAAAGTAACTTCTACCCATAGCTAAAGTCACGGAGAAAGGCTTCTCTCAAAGACACGGAGGAAGTCTCTCAGGCTATCTAAGACGTTCGCGTTTCAAGTTGCAAACGAACAAAGCCCCAGACTACGCTCACCCACCCGGGGCTCAACAGTTACCATCAAAGAAACGCGAAAAGGCAAAAGGGCGATTCCAACGGGAGAAGGAAGGAACGAGCCCGCCCCGCGCCGCTGCCGGCCGCTCGGCAGCCGCAGATGCCGCCTTAAAATAAAGGGAGGAACGCAAATAGAACATATTTGCTTTTAATAACGCGCTCCGCGGGATTAAGATAGAGGAGATGTCGCGACACAGGCGAGCGCAGACGGGACGGCTGCCGGGCAGCGGAGCCGCGCGAAGATGCGCTCCAGACCCGCTCAAAGACCGTGGGGCCGAGGGACCGCACACTTACGAGGAGGGATCGGGAGCGAAGAAGTCCACGGCGAAGCCGAAATAGCTGCCCTCGGCGCCCGAGTACACGGCCGGCCGCTCGGCGTCCAAGTTGAAGGCGCGGGCGGCGGTCAGCGCGCAGCCCAGCAGCAGCAGCGTCCGCAGCCCGGCCATGGCCCGCGGCGCTCCCGGCCCGGCCCCGCGCGGAGGAAAAGGGCGGCGCGGGAGCAGGAGCGGGAGCGGGCCGCTTCCTCTGCTCCGCGCCCAGTTCCCTTTTCTCGGCGGGACGGCAGGAAGGAGGAGCGGCATCATGTGGTGCCGGGGGCGGGCCCCGCTCCCGCCGCCGCCCGGCCCCTCCGCGGCCCGTTCCGGGCGGCTCGACGCGGCCTGCTCCGGCGGCCGTGCCGTGGGAAGGCGGCCCCGCACGCGGGTGGGGTCCGCGGAGCGCGGGACCGCCGGAGAAGGAAGCGCCGAAAGCCGCGCGGGGAGCCGCGCGCCAGCGACCCGAGAGTGGCCCGGGCGGCGGAGCGGCGGTGCTCGGGCCTGCGGACGGCGGGGCGGAGCCGGGCTGCGGAACGGCGGACAGCGGGGCTGCCGCTGCCCGTCCTGCTCCGGGAGGGACCGCTCGCGTAGGCGGCAGCCCGAGCCCTCCGAAGGACTAGGACCGCTCTCCGACGGCTCGGGGACCGCTAATGAGATACCGGACTCGGTTCAAGCGCGGAGTGTTGTGCTTTGCTTTATAGTTCCGCGGTAGGAACTGCGCGGCGTACGGGGCCGGCCGTTCGGAGTGAGCCCAGCTGGCAGCAATCCTCACCGAAAGACGGAGAAAGTAATAAAGCGGTCAGAGCACGTGTAGGCAACCTCTTACGGCCAGAATTCGTGCGAGGGAGCTGCCCGTTAACCCGCTGGATAGAAGAAACCATTTCGTAGCCAGCAAGCATTCCTGAGTTTTGATGTAATCGGCTTTGTTCAGAAGCATGATATTGAAACGTTGACCCCAGGACCACTTAGCATGTTATTTTTTGCTTATCTTTCAAGGACTTATTGCTCTCAAAGGACCCAAGGACCTTCCCCTCTTCTCTTCCCCCTCACCCCCACAAAAAAAAGAGAAAAAAAAGGAAGTGTGCTTTGTCACCAATTGCACAATGAATCACATTTCAGAATTAGCATCAGCTTCCTGTTTATCTTGGAGGGCGAATTTACAGCACTGCACTGTTCTTGGTGATGCCTACTTAGTCTGTGTTCACTGATAGCCCATTGTTGTGGCACACACATGAAAGAAAAAAAGGGAAGGATTTCAGGGAAAAGAACTGAACATTGGGGTGATAATTGCAGTTTCTCACCTAATAGAGAAAGTTGCTTTAAGTAAAAACTTCAATTCCATTGTATATTGTTATGGTCAGATTTTATGAAAATACACAAGCTAAATTAAGTAATCAGTTATGAAGTCTCACAGCCTGCCTGTCTGCAGTCTGACACACTGCAGCACAAGGACAGTAAGGGGCCTGTGCAGGTAAACACACGGCGCCACCAGAAAGAAGGACCTGGTCATTCTGTGTTGCTGTCAGTTGTTCTTACTGTCAAGTGATGATAATTTCTTGAGGAAATCAACGGAAAATCTGTAATTTTGCCAAAAACAAGAGAGTTCCTATGCCCAGGCTCGATGTTTGTTGCTGATTTTCTTATCTTGTCACCTCTCCATAGGTAAAGTCATGGCGAAGAATAACTTTTATGATGTAGTGACTTGTCTCTCACAGCTGTTACACCGTGGACCTGATCAAAGCAAAACTTCAGATAGGTAAATAAGTTTCTAAATCTTAGCAAATACTAAAAGCATAAAATAACAAAATACTCAATATGTCTGTAGATTTGGCAAAAGGAGGATTTATTTTCTCTGTTTGATCATATACGTTCTCATTACACAAACAGCAAGGGATATGATAACATTAAGATGTATGATATGATTAAGATATGAGGGCTGCTTACTGAATGGCAAATTTTGTCTTCCCAAGAAGTGGCTGTGCAGCACTGCTGTGTGCTGTCAGTGGATGGATAAGTGAAAAGCCAGGGGAGTAATTTAGCCGTGGCGTACATCAGAGGTTGCTCATCCCCAAGGATACCTTCATCAGACGGTTTCCTCTCCTCAGTAGGACAATTTCTTCACAAGTCTATCTGCCCACTATCACTGGGGCTGGGAATGCTGCCCGCTCTTCCCCTGACCCAGCTCCCACACCACAATGAGTCACACACAGGGATGGGGCACTGCCTGGGCTGCTGCATTGCATAGAACCCGTCCATCGCTCCGGGCAGCCCGCAGCTCTCCTGCCTCCACCTCAGCACAGAGAACAGAAACACGGGCCTGGGGTGCACTTCCAGTCAAAGCATATCTCACTAGAAATTAAAACAAGCATTTTCTATTGCCAAAAAAAGTGATTGAGGCTATAGCTGGCACTGAGTTATTACATGACAGAATCACAGGCAAAGGAATGATGGCCCCAAACAGACTTTGTATCAGTCTAAAGCAGGAAACACCCTTCTAGTAAAAGTGTAATTTTTCCTTGCTGACTTGTTTAGCTCTCAGTATGATTAACAAGTAGATTGACAGCTAGTAGAACTGTGTTACGCAATGCAAACAAACAAATTATATGCTTCTATATTTGCTCTACCGACTACTTTTCCATCTGCAGTCTGCTAAGGCATATAGCAGTGGAAAGTAGCCACTAGGAAGTGGGCAGAACAGGGACAGCAAGCTGTGACCTTGCTAGCTTTTCCTTATACAACTGATCATTAACACAGTTGAGTAAGGCTTTGCAGGATGCCAGGCATATTTGGAGAACTCATTGCTTCTTTTTAATTTTTCCTTAGCTTTCAGCCTGTAGAATGAACAGAGAATTTCAGAATATGTTTTTTTTTTTTAATTGCAATCCTGTGTTTCTCTCTCGTAATGTTACTGTCATGAAAGAAACAGCCAAAATCCCGTAATTCAGGATAAGTTAAAAATATGCATTCCACAGTGGTTCTACTTAAAAGGCCCTGAAAAACATCCCATGCTAAGGGAAAAGCTTCAGCTTCTTAGCAGATCCAGCATTTGTCAGATCCAGCTCTACTAACATCTGGAGCACAGAAAGGATTGCCACTGACTTGTTTGTTGATACTGTTGTTGGCTGGCAAAAGGCGTCATTCAACCATAAGAGAGCTCTTCTCTTTTGCCATCCAGGCATTCAGTTTCACAGAGCAGTTTAATTGCTCTGAGCAGACCTTTAAGAAGTAACTCAGTCTCTAATACAGCAGTAGAAAGCAAGCTTGACTAAAAATGGTCTTATCTTATTACTTCAGTGTTATTTTTGTCTAACACTCATCAACTAATGCTTATTTTCTTGAAATTCCATGAACACTGCAAACCACAAAAGCACCACTGGGTGAGGGGCGAGGCAAAACCACCACAGCTGTGTTGTAAGCTCAGGTTGTTGTGGTTCCACCAGGACTCACCAGTCCAGAAAAACCCCACTCATTGGTTACTAGAACCTCTCAGGCAGTTTCCTCTAGCAATAGGAGAGTGTCTATAAAAGCAGTTTCTAACTGGTGAACCACGCTCAGGGCAAAGTTTGAGATCTTCCAGTTGGAAAGGAAATGAGTCGGATCCAGGCTGTTTTCTGGTTTGCTCAGTTGTGATAGCCGCATTACCTCAGTGTTAGTCAGCGTCTCCTCCATCCCCGCTGAGTGTTGCAGAATGCTGGTTACTCAACAGGAGTTTTTGTATGTTGGGATTTCAGATCGCCCAGTTCAGAAGCAGCTCCACACAGTCTACAAAGGGATTCACATCTCTTCTATCTGACAAAATCAGTGTTACAAATCCCGTCTTCCTCAGATTTTAGTTTACAGATCTTTAGATCCAACAAATCAACTTAACCTGATGTTGCTCAGTAAAAACCCCAAAGACTTGAATATCTTTTTAAACAGCATTTATACTCTGGAGAAAAGGATCAAAAGGAAGAAATACAATAATATATGTAAATATGACCCCATTTCTTTTGGAGATAGGGAAAGCCTGGGAAGCCACCACACCAAACTCCAGCCAACAGGCGGGGCTGTGAAGCTGGGAAAACACATTTTGAAAATGTGTTGTGATGTGTACATAGAAGACTTCAACCCACACTCAGCTGTTACTGGAAAGCAACTCTACCTGGCAGAAACACATTTGAAATAGAGTTCTGCCTGGAGCAAGGAGAAATGGAATGCTTCTAACAGCCCTGATCTATAGGCACAAAGGATGTTGTTTGTTTCAGTTTTCTTTCTTCTTTTTTTTTTTTTTTCCCCTCCTTTATATTTTTATGGCTATCTTTTAAAACTGTTTTGGCTTTTGCCTAGCCTGCAATGTCCAGGCATTGGCTCCAATAGGCTCTGAGTTGGGTGCTACTGGCTGAAGAATTCCTGGAATGTAACTTCAGTTCCTCATTTCTACCAAAAGAAATTTGCCAGTTAATGTTGACAAGTTACTAGTGATAGAATATGCAGACAATTCTTTGCCTTAATAAAGAGTGTATTTTAAAACTTCTCCCTTTTTTTTTTACCATCTATGGATTCTTGTTCCACTTCCTCCTGCCTCCCATACATACCAAGAATGTGCACCCATCTATTTATAGCACATATTCTGTCAAACTGTAGCTTTATGTTTCCTGTGTGGAGGACACTTTGTGGGTCACATAACAGAATCGCTCTTCACAGAACACAGACTTTCTATAATGACAGGAAAAAGACTGGAGACCGATATAGGGCTGATATGACTAAACAACATGCAGTTCTGACACCCACTAGCTCTTTATTCGAGGAAAAAGTTCACAAAGGTGAGCTGTCTGCAGTTAAATAAACCCCTCTGCACCCCTTACAGCCTGTCCCTCCTCAATTTCGATTCATCTGACATAGCGATAATGCCTTTACTATGTAATTTCTGACCAACTTAACTCTTCTCTTGATTCCATAAACAAAACCTCAGAGTCCCACCACGAGAGCATGCTACTGAGCAGCACGGAGCTCCACAGCACACCCACTGAGCAGCCAAAGGCAGAAGGCAGCCAGCTGGAACACACGGCAGACACTCAGCCCATCAGCACAGAGCAGAGGTCAGGCAGAAAACTCTGCAACAGCGTGTTCATGCTTGGAAGGGAGAGAAGACAACAGAAGAAAGGGGTGAAGAGAGAAGATCAAAGGTTTCTTGCTGAGAAATATGGCTATTACCCAATTCATGTCTGAGATGTTAAGGAGGCATTCAGTTGCAGCCATGAAATGATTAAATAGAGGTCAGTTCATCTTGTTTTGTTGTAGGTTTTGTTTTTGTTTTTGTTTTTTTAATTTTTAAAGTCTACTCTTCCCTACCCAGTTAAACTACTTCAAATTTAAGTGTTTCCAAAGTTAGCAGAAATCTTCGTTTAAGAGCTTACACGGAATTTGGATTATTGTGTAGACACACTACAGCAGTATTTTACATTCAATCTTGTGTGCAGTGCTCAGAGTGCAGAAATGACAGCCTCAGTGTCGGGATGTAAAGCAAGGAATAAAACAGGAATGGAAGTGAAGCGCAAAGAGGACCAAACACTCTCAGGTCAGAGAACTATGAGGTTTTAGATAACTTTCTACAACTGCAAAACGTGCTCTACAAGCATATCATACACTGAAAATACAGTTTCATTTTAACACAAGCCCAAGGATGTACAACTGGTAGAATATATTTCTCTAATGCCTTATTGTACAAAGAATACCATTTTGTCTTGTGAACTTTTTACAGTAGTTTGCCCTGTGTCTTTGCGTGTGCCCTCATAGAAATCTAGGAATGTTTTAGAAGTTGTATACTTCATCTTCCACTATATCTTGCTTCATTTTAAGAGTTCACCTTGACACTTTTCAAGTTGAATTTGGTTCAGTTTGGAAATATTTCTTTAGTTTCATGCCAGCCTTTCTCAAACCTGTGTCCAAATATATTGCACTGCTTGAATATTCTCAGCCACAGATGCCTGAAGTCTCTTTAACACAAATGAAATGCTGGTACATATGATCAAAAGAACTGATTATTTCAATAATGCGTTATGAAGGAGCCTGTTGTGTTCACATATTAGGACTATAGCATCATAAATGAATAAAACATCTTGGCCCTGTTGCTAACACCAGCAACAGCCACTCTCTGTGAAAAGACAGAACTTCTATTGAAAGGCAGAAACTGGAAGTGACAGAAAATAAGCCAAGGTCACTTCTAAGCCTCTAATAGTACCAGGGGTGGGGGGAAGAGAAAGGTGATTTGCAGATATCACTGTGAAAAGCACTTAATGGGATCACAACTACATAAAGCACATCCGGCACATTACTAGGAACAAAGACCATTTGCTCCACTAAAGATTCTGCTGATTAAGGCCCATTCATAGAAAAGTCTCATGCACTACTGGGGAGGTGAAGTTGCTAATTTTGTACACAAGTTTTTCTAGCACAGAAACGCAGTAAGAAATGGTATCCTTCAAACTGAAATACTTATTTTCAGTATCACTTCCTCTTCTTGGCACCAAGTCAAAGCTGAGGAAGACATAAGATGTTGCTTCTGCTAAGTGTTTTCCCTGGAGATCAAATACTTTAAGTTAGGAGACATGTTCCAAACAAAGCGTGTCAGCTGCTTACAAAGCTTAGGCTGCTTGCTAAAAGATGCTGGAAACGTAAAGGGATTCAGGGGGGAGAAAAGGAAAAAACACGATTGAAAAAAAAAGAAAGCCATTGAGAGACTCATATGCACACACATACACGAGGTAAACTTGCATTTGAAACGATGAGATTGCTCATCTTACAGCTGTAATAAAAAGTGAGGAAAAGGAAGGTCTAACCTTGTAGGAATGTCTGACAAATAAAAAAAAATCTGAAGTTCCATTAAGCTATCCCAAAGAAGCACATGAATATTAGCAGTTTATGAACTGTGCCATTATTTACTTGCAAGATAATTAAGCCTGCAAAAAACTAACACTTGCAAAACTTTTTCTATTTGGCTAATTGTTTTTTTTTTTTTTAAAGGGGCATTCACTTGGCAACATAAATAGCAATCAGCCATCAGAACGTCCTACACAAGTTTTTTCAACACTTATTTCACACATCTGACTAAAGAATTGTGAAAGTACTCAGAAATGAGTGTATTTTATACGTGCAAGTTCTGTTTATGCAATCTGTTTGTGAAATGAACACAATCTATGAGAATAATGCATTGCCAAGGAGAACATCACTGCTCCATCACATGTTAATCGAATTCCCCCTTGATAAAATACAGCTGAGAAATGTCATCCAGTAAGAAATGATCTACTAATTGCTTGCAGTGGAAATGCTGTGATGCAATAGTTAAGGTCAACCTTCACATTTAATTTTCCTTCTTTTTTTTTTTCCCCAGGCATTTACCAGCCATGTGTATTTAAAGTAGGAAGCTTTCTGAGTAACATCGAGGAGGAGGTAAGTTATTTTTTCAATTATACAGCCCTCAGAAGTCCTATGAGAATTTTCAATTAAAGGTGTCCTCTTGTGACTGAAACGGATTTTTGTCTTTCAAGCTTTAAAGTCAACAAGCATTCCACTTCCTTAACAGCAAACTGCTGTTTGAAACTGCTATGAAAAAGTATGGGCTCTATGCAGATGTTCCCTGCACAGAAACAGAGTGAAGGCGGAGTGCTACAAGCAGCATTTTTTCCCCAGGAGATATGAAAGCCCCATAGCTACACCACAGTTTTCACACAGGTTTTTTTTCCACTTAAGTTTGGGGGCAGAGATGAGGCAAACAGCAGAGCAGGCCGTGTGCACTCACAGAATGAGTGAAGCTCCTCAGAAATGTTTCCTCCCTGGCCTATGCATCTGCATAGCCTGACTTGAATCCTCTGGATAGAGCCTTCCCACAGTAGTAAGATGACTGTTTTTTTGACCCCTAAAAACACACAGGTGAAGACACTGCTATCTCAGGATTTCTCATTTTTCTTTAAGCAGATCTATGGCATCAGCTATTCACATCAGAGGAATTACAAGACAATTGCATCTGCAGAAACAGCTCGTGGGTAGGTAACATTCAGGTGGACTTCATTTTAATCAGCTGTTCTTTTCCACAATTTACCTTCAGTAAGGTCTTAGCACCCATTTCTAATTGAGCATTTAATGACTGAAACTCTATTAGCTGCTAATTTAGGCTTTCACTCATGAAAGCATTTTTCAACTAGTTACATTTAAGCTTATCTTCAAGCAAAAGGAATAAGCAGCACCATAATGCTACCAATCCTCAGAAGCATGCCTGAGTGCTACATGAACGCTTCTTGGGAAGCACCCATCCTGCTTTTGTGGTTAGAGATCTCTACAGAGCCAAGAGGCCTAAGCAAGAGCAAGCAGAGTCTGTAGAAATGCTAGAATCAATTAAGCCAAATCAGAGGGGCAGCAAACTATTGCTTCATGACCACAGAGAGTTAAGCCAAAACTTAATGCCCAAGAGAACTGTTTTTTTTTCTATTAAGTTATGGTTATTCAATTTATGTAAATGCTATGCAACATAACTATATCCTGCTATTTAGTTTCAACATACACAGCAGGGTATGCACTGCACTGAGCCCTTTATACTGAACTCAAAAAGGGCACATCCTGCTCATTTATTTTTACATTCCTTCAGCTGAAATGAGCTAACCTGCAAAGTACAAATAATTTAAGAACATGGTTGCAATTGTGAAGATGTAACACGTTTACATCAATGAAACAGACAAGATGACAGAAATCAGTATTACACGCTGCATATTAGTCTCCAGAACAAAATATAGCCATTTCAATCCTTAATAATTATTTTATTCCCATTTAAAATATACAACTTTGAAAAATTAGGCATCATACATTCAAATTTGAATTGCATTCTTAAGTGTCCTGAAATCCAGATAGCCTATTTCTGGTCAGTATAATACAATAATCTGTCAACACTCTTCGTTTATGGCCACAAGAGAAAACTGCAGGAATAAACATTTATTATCTGATACTGCAGCTTGTCTTTAAACACTTACATTTAGGAGTCCATTCCAGTAGACCTCTTTTCCCCAAACATTGTTTTCTTGTTTCTATAAGAGAAAAAAAATTCCACAAAGATCCCAAAAAGGGCAAAAAAGGTTGAAGTCAGCTATTTTAGAAATAGCATTAAAGATACAAGAGTTGACTCAGCAGTGTCAGAAATAACCATTAAAGCTCGTATTACCACTCAACAGTGGTTCAAGTAAGCTTGCTAACAATGCCATGAAGCTTAACAAACTTGAAGTAGTAACTTGAAAACTTCAGAAAAAACAGCCATATAAACGGTACCCCTTAGTACAGCAGTACTGTTACAGATACTTAGTAGTGTGGCAATGAGGCATAAAACTTTGAGCCCCCTTGAGAAAGCACCTCTACAGACATCATCATGGTAAGGTTTTGATAAATTTTGGAAGGGCAACTTGACTTCACCGAAACCTGACAGCTGCCCCCTGCAGGGACACAACAGCATCCACAGCTCTGCCTTCAGCCAGATGTTATTACTGCACAACTCAGAGAATACCCAAGACATTATAGGCATTTTTTAGACCCTAACATCCCTGCTCCACAGAGCTCAAAGCCTTAGCTAACATACAAACAGAGCAGGGAAAGCATGAGACTCAATCCAAAACGGGCACTCAATAGCTTGGATTAAATCTGTTGATGGATGGGTGGGAGATGACAACAGGAGGGGAAGTCAGCTGCTCAATTCTACAAACTGCGTGAAGAGTAGAAAAAATCCAACTGCCATTAACCCTAACGTAATTTAAGCCAACATCAATCACTTCATGAGGACTGGAGAGAAAGCATCCATCACTGTATCAGAAAATCATGTTATTATCCATTTGCTGTCATATCTTAACAGAGAAAAAGCAACACGGGGCTTTTTAAGTTGGTAGTTTTTATTTACAGTTTTGCTGGCAAAAGGCGGTGGGAAAATTTGGGAGTTTTTCAACAGAGGGCACCATGTTGTACTGTTGATGTATCAGTTCACTGTCTGTATCCTCAGTATCCAGCTGATCAAATAAAGCTAATCAACATGTCAAGAAGCGTGATCTGCATCAGCTCCTCTAGAGTGCTCTGCCTAAAAGCAAGTCAGGCAGTTTCTAAATCAACACAATCACTATTGCAAATGCAGTTCTGGTCAGGAACGTTCACTTTTATTTCATACTGCAGCTGGTATCAACTTCTCACTTACACCTGCATACGGGCAAAGCAGTTACACTTCCTACTTTTAGGTGAAATTTATGATCTCATTCTCTGCAAATTCAGCTGTCAGGTAATTATGAACTACTCTGAGTTTCTTACTGTGATCATAGCAAGTTTGGAGATGAGACAGAAGTAAAACATTCCTGGTATATGATGTGCCCATCAGAATCAGCCGGGTAACCATAAAATTCTGTTTAAGAATTCTATTCAAGAAGGAGGAAAAGTGTAGTCAGTTTGCACTTTATCACATGGACTTTAATTCCAATGAGCTTTTTAATTCATTCTTCTAAATCAAGAGTGTTTAGTTCTTCTTCTAGTTCATCCAAGTCCTCGCCAGTAAAAAGATTTTCATCAACGGGCACTGCATCAATGACTCCATTTTCTAACTCCTCATCGCCATCACGACCTTCTTCTAAATCATTTTGTTCACTGCTGTTTATCTCACCTCCAGAAGCTTCACTTAGTTTATTATCTGAAAATACAGTTTTTTTTACACATTTTAGTGTCACACATTTCTTAATCACTAGGTTCACAATCATACCAGACAAGCTCTGAAGTTTTTCAACCAGTCACTTAATATTTTCAATTTCTGTATCTGAGCTTATATAGACTAAATGGCACATGTCCAATTAACATGCCAGGTTGGATCATTAGTTATTAGAACAGGCTGAAAACAATAACTCGCATATCTAACCCCTCAACTCCTATTTTTATAACAGGATCAGGCTTCATGTTTTGCTCCTATTCAACATCTGCACTTCAAAGACTCGGGTTAACTTGGAAGACTGGAGTTTGCATTTGACAACTGCAGCAAAATGAAGTGTTAGCTTGTAGAAATTAGAAGTTAATCTATGCAAGCTGGAAAAATATTATACACTACTTTTTATTTAGAAGTTGAACTCAAGAAAAATAAGAAGTGCACACAGATCTACTAGAATCATTGCCTCCAGTAAGTACAATGATCATGATAGTCATTTTGCTTCTGCTCTTTAAAAAACAAACAAACAAATAATGCTTTTTGGCATATCAAGAACACATTTCTGCTTGCTTTTTTGGAAGCAAGTTTTCAAAAAATGAACTTATCAATTCATTCCCTTAAAAGGGATGCCTACATAATAAACTTACCATCTTTTTCTATTGAAGCGTACGTGCTGAATCGCTCAGGACTAGCCACTGTAATGCCAGTTTCATCTACAGCCTTTGGGACATACAGACTCAGGTCTATATCATTTACACACACAGGGTCTTCCACCTGAAAAGTACACCAGTATTTTCCATATGAATCACTCTTCTACACAGATTATAATTTCTGCAGAACTTCTACAGACCTTTTCCATCCTCCTTTTGACATCGTAATGGGGAAAACATTCCGTATTAGCACTGAATTAAGTACTTGAAATTTTAATTGTACCTTAAGAGCTCTCAATTTAGGAGCAAGCCTTGCAAAAAACGTCTTCAATTTCCCATGTAACTCAAAATATTATTTTGGTTAGCTTTTTTCCCCCCCTTTTTTTTTTTTCTTACCTCATCATCTTCTCCCGTTCCTTGAGTGTAGCGAGTGTCATCTGCTTCTTCATCATCAGCATCAACCAGCTCTGGTCGGAACTCAAATACTTCACGTCCACTGATCTGTTAGCAGAGGAAGCAATTAATTTATAATTTCACAGAATTTATAAGGTTGTTCAATAAAGAAAAAAAAAAAAAGCAACAATTCTAGTTTTTCTAAAAAAGTAGTCAGCTTCTATTTACTCTTTACATTAGGAATGAAAGTATAGAACGTACCACCAACGCCTTGCCGGCTTTAAAATCTGCTTTCCTCCTTTCCATATCTTGCTCTGCCTTATCAATTTTTTCTTGTCTTTTTCTTCTCTTCCATGCAATAAAACACTCTAATGTGATTTTGGTAACGTTTGGTCCTAAGGCAGCACGCTGTCAAGTAGAAAGACTGATTAATGCTAGACATTGGTTCCAAAAGCAAACCCTAGGGATAACAAATTAAGGATACGTAATTACTCTTTTCTAGAAACTAATTGAAAACATTTATTTCTAATTGCTTCTGCACTCTCACCGCTGTTAAACATGCTTCATCAACTTAAAGTGAGATTCCACATCAGTTTTCCAGTTGAGACAAATCAACACTTAAGTGAACGTGGAAAATGGAGGAAGAAGCCTGTGGTATTAGTTTAAGTTACTTTCCATCTGGCACTGCCAGGGAATGGTGTCAGCAGAGCTGCAGTATAACATCTTTGGGAGGGCCCTTTCTTCATGCTGATTCCTCTTAACAGAACCACACAGTAATGAATGGCAGAATTAAGCAAGAACTAAGGCAATGGTGAATTTGAGCTGAGGAAGAAACAGTTGTAAAAGGACAAACAGCAGTAAGAAACAGAAGCCTCCTAAAACAGGATTATCCATCTTACCCTAACAGTAAGTATCCAGCTATACTTTTAGAAACTCACTCAGCTGATTGAGAGGAAGAAAACTAGCTAAACATAAACTAGCTAAACAAAAAACATGAATTACTATGCATTCCTCAGTCCAGCTTATATAGATATACAACTATTCAATGCTTTTCAATAATTCACTACGATGTTATTATCGACAGTTTTCCTCCTCTTTGCAGTATAATGAAAACAAACACCACCAAGAGGTACCTAATTGAAACTTTACCTCTTTTTCTATTAGATCTTCTAAGGAAATTTCATCTTGCTTTTCTTCCTTCTTTTTGTCTTTTTTTAGTACAAAACCTGGAGGAAGAGCATGGCGATACATGCAATTGTCTCCGCCGCCTGGACAGACCCAAAACCATCCGTATTTGTTGTTTTCAATAGCATCAAGAAAATATTTGCAGACCTGCATAAAACAACACTTGTTGGTCCTGTATTCTCATCCCCAGCAATTTACACTAGCACAGCTACTACATGCCAAAAGTACAGTAATTCAAAGCCAGCTGTGGTCAAAAGTGAATAAACGTGCCATGCACTCCATTACAAAAAGTAGATATAAAAAGAGCAACTAACTATCTAAAACCTCAAGTACTCAACAGCTTTCGCCCTTAATATAATCTCAACTTAGATAGGCTGACTTGAAAGACTAGTGACTGTACTACAGTAAACCCAGCAGCACGTGTAAAAGCATGCTAAGGGTTTATGTTTGGTCATGAAAACCGAGTGTACTTTTAATCAAAATAAACAATTTCAGATGTTTCACGTTCCAACTCATGATCCTGACATAAATATATCATTCTGAAACTTCTGACAAGCAATTTGTAACACCTAGTCATACCTAAGTTTAATTCTGGCAAGTATCAATAGCCTATTTGGGACTGTGAACAAGGCATAGTCGTCCTGAAGGATCAAAAAAAATAAAGAGCACAAAGGATTAAGATACAGCATTCAGTGTACAAACTAATTTCTTAGCAGCCAGGTGTCACAAAGTCAAAACAACTCAATCAGCCTGTCTCTGCTGCTAAATAACAAAAACTACAGTTCAATGAAAACAGAGAAGACATACTATTTGAGTTTTGGGTTTTTTCTTTTCCGCTTCACCATGCTTCTTGTTCACCACCTCTTCTAGTTTCTTTTCATCCCAGTTATCCATCGTGTCTAGAAGACAACAGAAGTTTGCACAAACATTCCAAATCCTAAACAATATTCTTTTTCCCCTAATTAACAGCAGTAACATGCAGTTCTTATGTTTTAGTTAACCTATGGAAAAAAAAACCAACCCAATTCAGTCTTCTGTAATAAAACACAATCTCAGAACTGCAGGGGTTGGAAGAAACCTCTAGAGATCCTCGAGCCCAATACCTCTGCAAAGCAGTCCCCCACAGCAGGCTGCACACCTAGGCGTCCAGGCAGGTCTTGAACGTCTCCAGAGAAGGAGACCCCATAACCTCTCTGGGCAGCCTGTTCCAGTGCTCTGTTACCCTCACCATGAGTAAGTTCCCTTATATATTGGTGCAGAACTTCCTATGCTTACGTTTACAGCCGTTTCCCCTTGTCCTGTCCCCACAGACTTCTGAAAAGACGCAGAAGTGTCTTTTTGACTCCCACACTTAAGGTATTTTTAAACATGAAAAAGATCCCCTCTCAGTCTTCTTTTCTCAAGGCTGAACAGATACAGGTTGCTCAGCCTTCCCTCATCAGAAAGGTGTTCCAGGCCCTTTATCATCTTCATGGCCCTTCGCTGGACTCTTTCCAGGAGATCCCTGGTTTTCCTCTATCAGGGAGCCCAGAACTGGATACAGTACTCCAGTTGTAGTTTGATCTGGGCACGGTGAGGGGGACGATCATCTTCCCTGACCTACTGGCCACGCACCTTTTAAAGAACCTCAGGATGCCATTGGCCTTCTTGGCCAACAAGGCGCCCTGCTGGCTCACGGTCAACCTGTCACCCACCAGGACCCTCAGATCCTCCAGCAGGTCATACCCCAACCTGTGCTGATACTTGCAGTTATTCCTTCGCAGGTGCAAAATACTACACTTGCTTTCGGTAAACCTCAGTGTTCTTCCTTCATTATACAGCTCACAAGACATCCTCCTCAAAAATCTGATAAGCTTTTATCTGTACATATGTGAAATGTATTTTCAGGTAAAGACTTAAGAAATGTGACTCTACTTATATAACTTAAACTTCTTCATAATGTAAAAATGATGAGGAAGAACAAATACTGTATGACCTGCTATTCGTATGACACAAAACTTCACACATAGCAGGACTCACAAACCCCCATCCAAGATCAATTAGTGATACTTTTTCAAACAAGGACTACAGAATACTTGTGAGCCAGCTTTTAAGAGCAGCTATCAAGTTTCATTAACATTTTGAACACAGCAATATGGGTTGCTATCACTGTGACCAGGGTCTTTGGAATCATACAAATGCAACTTGCTTAACTTAAAAATGCAACTGCAGAATCAGAAGATGATTTATGGAATGTTTCCTAGAAGCAGTGTACCTTTTTCGAGGTCTTCATCTCTTGCATCAATGTAGACACTTCGTTTTTCACACTTCCTTTCCAAGGACAAATCATGAGAAAACTTGCACTTGTCCCCTTTAGTGCACTGCCCTTGCTTGAAGAAAGCACAAACTACAGATTTGGGATCAGCACCTGAGTGAAGAAAGTTTTTCTATTTTAATAACATCTGTAAGCAAAATACTAGAACACAACAGAAGTTGTATCTTGAAAGTTTAAAGAACATTGTCTAAGATCTTACCATATTTAGGACCTGCACAGAATGAAAAGGTGCTTTAAAAAAATAAGTTATTTAATGAAAAGTTCACCCCAACAGCCCTTTCTTCACTTCAAGTAGATACACTGTGTTCTGAAAGCATCTTATTTAGTTCGTATAGCAGGATATTTATATTAACTATCAATGAAGATGTGACTATAGGAAGTATGGGTAGCAGTGTGCCTGAGAAGAATGTGCTCATGTAACGCATAACAAATCATTCCACACAAGTTCTTCCCTATATAGTAGGCCATTTTTGGTTCTGATATGTGGTAAAGCATCTTTTGAACGTCAACCTTTCTTTAACATAATCAGAAATATGCTAGAAGAAGTTTTATTAACCTCGCCTGTACTCATTCAATAATACTGAGACGGCTGTTTCTAGCCTTAAAAATAAGCCAGTGCTGCTAAAATGGGAAGTACCCAATCACTAACTATGGTTTTCAAGTAAATACCACAGCAAATTGTTTGAGCATCAGGAGGCAAAAGAAGAAATGAAGAGGGGTTTAAATTTATCTACTAGATGTAACAGATGAAGTTCTCAAGTACTAACATATGATTTTAAGCTTCAGTTTCTCACTCATTTCAAGCTTGGTTCCAGTCACCAGGGACTAGATTATGCTCAGCAGCAGCTGTTTAAGACCTTAAATAAAGAACTGGTTTATCAGCAACTGAACCCCTACAAGAACATCAGGTAACATAGTTGAACTTGCTGGCAAGCTCAGCAGAAAGACAAAGTTTTAATTAGGATAATGTTGGTGTTTTGCAATACCTCTCATTCAATAGCTACCACTACGGATAAAAATAAAGAACCTCGCCTTTATTGCTGCTAAATGACACAACGACAAAACATCAAGTTCACTTCAAAACCAACAAAAAAAACCCCACACTTCTTTGGTAAACAATTCTTGTGCCAGAAGCACAATACAGCACACAGTAACTAACATACAGTCCATTCCTGAAATACTGGTATTTTTTTCTTCCCTATGGCAAACAACTGTGGAGTCTTCTAGCATTATCAAGCACTTAGCAATTAATTTGCAATTTACAATCACTGCAATACTAGCTCGCTCCGTAACCCATCTCAGCTCAGACTACATTTTTGACACCAACATCCTACTGTTAACTATGAGAAAGAGCAGAAGTCATTGACAAAGTTCTGCTCTTTTGATGTGCATTAACATTTTCTGTGAACACAATGATTAGCTTAGTACCTGTAACATCTGCATGTTCATCCTTCCATGGGGACATAGGCCACTTTAAACAAGTGTCATTACAGAAAAACAGGCCATCCACCCAGAAATACGTGAGTGCAGCAAAGTATTTCTAAATGTTTTTCCTGAGACAGACATATGAGCAGTAGAACAAAACAGAAGTTTCAGGCATTCATACCTTTGCTAATCTTCTGTGCAGCAACCACAGGCTTGAAGAGTTCATTTAGTTCTTGTAGTTCTTTTTTCTTATCTTCTTTTTTTAATTTCTTTTCACTTTCTGTTTGGGCAGCCTGCAACGATGCCAAATTTGCTATTAGTAACAGAAAATCATAATGACACTTCTCACTTATAAGAACCTTACCTTAATACATAAAATCATTCTGAATGAGTGGGGGAGAGAGGCATGAGCTGGGAGCGTACGATTTCTAAGTTCCTCCAAATCCCTGCCTTTGCAAATGCCATCTAGTGGCACTGACATTTCAGACAGAAGAGATTTGAATTAGAATTTGTCAGAGATGTGAGATGTTGTTACTCCTGTACCACCTTCACAGGCTAGGAAATGAAGTGGAAGTTTGAGACTGAGGAAATGCTAGCTGTTCTTGTGTGATGCTTCAGCAGGGCAACCACTCAAACCAGGCAGTTCAATATGTGCCAAAAGCTTCTCTTGAATCACCCACACCCTGCTTTGCTTTCTTGTCAGGCATACCAACAGCGCTCCCGAGTTATCTGTGTGTAGAAGCAGGGAAATGTTTTTGGAACATTTGAATTGATATCAACACAGCAATGTTTCAATGCCAACTGCTAGGTTATAAAACGAGAACATTTTTCTTAGTTTTCATAGGCACAAGGAGGGAAGACTAAGGGACAGGCTCACCTAGGAAAAGTTGGTATGAAAGACAAAAATGGCACCCCTGCCTCAGCCTTTTTTGGAGAAGCCAAGAAAGGCCTATATCTAGCACGAGACTGGTAGAGAAGGGTAAAGATAGATGAAAAAGGTCATGAGAGAAACACAACACGCTTAGATGACTTGATTTTTATCCTTAAGAGAAGCTAGTGGGACTTTTAACAAATATTTCAGACACGTTATTGGCAATTGTCAATCGAACTTCATGAAAGAGCTTAGTTGCCAAGCTGTTTTACACTGGAACTGATTACAGAACACCCTGCTTTATACAGCAATTCCCAAACTCTATTTTACCAAGTATGCAGACCCTAACATGGCAACTACACAAAAAAAAAAAAAAAAAAAAAAAAAAAAAAGTGACCTGATTTTTAACAACAACAGATGTATTTTAGGCTTCTGTTTCACTTAAAGATTCCAAAAACATAAAAACAGTTTGATTTGCTTTTGTTTTTTTCAGTGTTGATAGCATTTCCATTTTTCCTAAGGACACAGCAGTACTTGCTTTAAGGTATTGTTAAGTTCTCCAGGACAATCCTAAATGAAAACTGCTTTTACAAGGTAAGATAGGTGCCATCAGGTCTGGAATGAGGTTCTGAACACCATCAGTTGAGTGTTTGAAAAAAACATTTTTTTATCATGTAGTAGCATTGCTGTCCATGCTACAGATTCAGGGACTTCACACACCTTTCAGAAGGACTGCCTGAGTCGCATCAATGTTTCTGAGTGATACCAAATAGACCCCATTACTACAAGAAGTCAGTAATCTGAGGACATGCACATCAACTTGACTTCTGAAGTCATACTCGACATTTGTTAGCTCATCCTCGTATCACGTAAGGCATCTAGCACAGTCCACAACATCCTGAGGTTAACTGCTGCAAATGTAATTATTCTACAGGCTTATTCAGAGAGCAGGAACGTTATGAATACCAGGCTGCTAACCTCTCCAGCACTGCAGGAGTAAGACCTGGCTCACTACCATTAGAATAATATTCCTCTCAAATCCTGCTTTCTAACCAATGAAACTTTATGTCTCAGCCACATCAATTTTTAATTCATCTTGCAAAAGCAGATCAAAGTGGTAGTGACAGTAGCTCCAGATTTCAGTCTGTCTGACCTTTTTACAAAATAGCCACACAAGTGCTGGACT